TTAAAGTTTCGCATTTGAGAGGTGAGCTCAATCCTGCTGATGTGTCCACAAAGCTGTTAACAAGAAGTCGTATGCGATTCCTGATGTACCTCATGAAGGTCGTTGATGCGTACACACATGAGAGAATTGGAGAGACAGAGTACAACCTGTATCTAGAAAAGCGAACAATGCAGATTGCAATTCAGCAAGTGAAGCGCCTTGAGCCTGGGAAGATGAATGGCAGAGCAAAGCAGGCCATTCGTGGCTTGGTGATTGCTTCGCTCACTTCGAGTGGGATGGCAAGCGAGTTGAGCGAGGAAATGGTGTGTATCTCGATGACTTCAACAACAGGTACCGGGCAATTTGTCATGACAGTGTTGGTGGTGATGGTTTGCATGGGCTTAGGTGCGTTGTGGCTGAGATTCACAAGGGTGAGCGAGCCAGTGCAGACAAATGGGCGACCAGCAGCAAACATGGGAGATGATGCTGAAACCCAGACAGACGAGCGACATTTTCTCTACAAGTACCACACCGAGAACATCATGAGAGAGAGAGCAAGCGAGATTGAGAGACTTCGAGAACTTTCGAATCAGCTTGGAGCCGAATGTAGAGGGCTACGAGAGTGGAACACTCGGCTTCAGGAGTCAGAGACACAGTTGCTTGCACAAGTGCAAGAACTTCAGCAAGTGCAAAATCCGACACGGGGCGAGATCGTAATGACAGGCCAGGGTCATGTGTATCACACAAGTCGTCACTGTGAGCATGTGAGCCGAAGAAGAGCTACAACGTTCCGGAGGTGCAGAGACTGCGCTCATCGTGATGGCGATTGATTGGCAATGAAGTTGGTATGAGAGGCTGTGGAAAGTCTACACAAATTCGATACAGACTGTGAACAGTCTGTGGTGAGCCAGCTGTGGTCCGTACAATGATGATGGTCCATGGATTGCTTGCGACCTTGAATGGAACATGTGCACTACGATCTACTGGTGCACATATTGGCCTCTTGCGATGCACAAAGCTTTACGTGCATCAAGGCTGTGAGACAAGGGACAAGATGTGAGTTTCACAATGGGAGCTCTTACGATGCACACGGCCTTACGTGCATCAAGCTCCATTGAGTGGCAGATGTAAATTAGTTTCTTCAGATTGTGCAGTGCATGTTTTTGACAAGTTTCTTTTCGTTTACCGCTTTAAAACCTACTGTTCCTTTGGGACAACATTTTCGACTATCAGCCAGCAGTGCTGAAAGTTGGGAGTTTGTAGGTGAGTGAGTTGATGGCAGAGCCATAACTCAAGGCGGGGTGACAAACCTTTCCGCTATTGTAAGCCATGTGTCTTGAACATAGTCAAACACGTTTTGTTAGTGTACAGTTGTTTCAACCGAGTTTTGACTGCAGGCGCTTTGTGGCTTTACAAAAGTTTTCAAATACGCATCCGGATGCTTTGCAGTTAATTCCACTTCAGCTGCCTTCAAGATGCTCTGCGAATCGGCGGCCAGTCTCTTTGCTTGATTAAAGAGCACAGGGCTCTGACCTGAAGAGGCGGCCGCCCCGTGCGTTTGAGTTTGGTTTGATCTATTGTGCTGCGATGCACAATCACCATGCTGCTGCCTTGATGGGAAGAAATTCAGGTGTCGCTCTTTATTGATTGTACATTGATCGAAGTTGGTAGTTTGACATATGTGGTGAATGGATCCAATGGATTTGAAAAGTCGACCTCACATGTGAATCCAGTTCCAGATGAGTCCGGGTCATGTGTTTACTCATAGCTGTTTGCTGTTTGAGAAAGATCACCGTACTTTGTCATTTTGGTTCAAGCCACACACCAAACCAGTACAATGCTGGCTAGCTTTACTTTTGAAGCTTGAACATTGCCTTGTAAAGCAAGAGCTAGACATTTGAGCAAGACACTCGATGCAGCTTATCTTACATTGCACTACTAGGTAATTTCTTTCCGCACTAGGCGGCGTGCAAGCGTTCCCTCGGGGAACGCGGATGTCGTCCGGCTTCGGCTGGCTTCCTCTCGGGCATCACATCAGTGATCTCGAGGACTTGGCCTTGCGCAAGTTACTTTGGACTTCGGTTTGGGATTTTTCGGATAAAGTTTGTCGGGTCCAGACCCAGCAGTCTTGCGTTGACATCCACCGGGGTTCCCGAGCACTTTACGGGCTGCATTCCGTTCCAGTTGATCGTGCAGATCATCTTTGGGCACTCCGCACCACTCCCCGAAGTCCGCCTTAATTCCTTTGGTCTTTGAGATGTCCACTGACCTGACACCGCATGCTGCAATCATGGCAGTTGACCTCATTGAACCTTCCTCTGGGCATCACGCAGAGCACGACACTGCGGCTTTTTCGCCAGTCAGGGTCAAGCGTTATAGGAATAATCCTCTGGGTCCAGGGCGTGCCGCGGCTAGCGATGTGATTGATGCTGTTTCAAATTTTGATGAAACTTTGGGGGAGAATGTGCCAAGCGAAATCCTCCTGTCACCTCCACTACCGGTGTGTTCGCAATCCTTTATCATGTCTGCAACTCCCAAATCTTCAGCTGCTTCAGGTTCCTGGTCGGTCGTTGCTTCTTTGCATCCTGGGACGACCCTGGACCGCCCGACATCAAAGTCACATCCTTTGCCGGCACCTAATCGGACTCTCTGCCCTAGGACTAGGCCCTCGGTTGCTTTGGTTCCTAGCGCAACGCCTTTGCCAGCCCCTACTAGGCTTAATGTGCATCGGGCTTACCTGCCGTTGGAAGCGCCTCTGCCTCCTCCAAACTATCAGCCTGCCCGTGTATACTCAATTTACCCCTCAGAAGCTCACGCTACGCAGGTTCTGACTCCACTTCAGGAAGGGGTAACGTCTGCCTCAGAAGCTGAACCTCCCCATCTCTCCTCTCTTGTTCGCCCTTCCCCAAAGGGATCTGCAGCATTGAAGTCTGGTGATCACACCACCGCACTCTGCCCTGAGGCCGCTGCGAATGCCTCCAATTTGAGGGGGGTTGTTCTTCAGAGCACCCTGCATTCTGAGGCCTGGGATGCCGTCTTGTTGCTCTGGCGCTCTTTGGTAGACATCATTGGCCCTTACAGTTCGGTGCTGCAGCAGCAGCTTCAGGGGTCACCTAATGGCCCTGCTTTGACATTGAAACTTTTGCAACTTAACGCAGACACAACCGCTTTACGCTATGTCAAAGCTTGCCTGACCTATTTCGAATTTCTTATCGACCTCGGACACTCCTTGGATAATCTTTCCCAACTTGCCGCAGTTGAGGCAGTCTATGCTTTACACTGCAGCCGTTCCCAGGACGATGACTTTTCTCTGGACCGGGAACAGATTGCTTTGGTTTTTCCGCTCAACACCCTGAAGGCACTGCGTTGGTTGGTGAAGACCGTGACCCTTCACTTCCCAGACCTCTACTCAGGCCTGTTCAGAGCTTTGTCCGCTCAGCCATCCTCAGATCGTTCTGAAGCCATGCCGCTTCCTTTGGACTTTGTCGCTTTTCTTGAATCAGTTGTGCTTGATCCTCTTTCCGCTCCTGAACTTGCTCTTTTTGCCGGCTCCGCATTGGTATGTATATGGTCTTCGCTACGCTTTGGGGACGCTTCCCACGTATCCTGGTCAGCTCTTCTGTTTGACCCTCAAGCATTAGTCATTCGCGGCCTTGCCTATCGTACAAAAACATCTCGGCGTGGCATGGCTTTTGCTTTCTACGCAGAGGGCATATATGGCCCTTGGGGTATTCGCTGGCTCCAGCTTCTGGCTGCCTTGTGGGGTTCTTTGGAACAACTCTCCTCCAATGTGGTTCCTGACTCCCTCTTTTTCTGCTCCTCACTTCTGGATGACACTTGCGACTTTGCATTTTGCCCCGCATCATATGCATCGGCACTGCGTTGTCTGCGCTCAGCCTTGAACATGTGGGGTCGCTTAGGGTACGATGCGTCTCGCAATTTCACTTTGCATTCTTGCAAGGCGACAGTCTTGTCCTGGTGCTCGCAGCTTGGCCTTGGCGATATGGCACGCCGTGAGCAGGGACATCACCGCACCACATCAGTCACTCTTTATGGTCGAGATGACACGCACGCGGCCCTAGCTCTTCAGGCCTCGATCCTTGGCAAGATTCGCACTGGCGCTTTTCGTCCCAGCATTTCCCAACACCGCGGAGCCCAGTCACCGATGGCAGAGCCGCAGCTTTTGGTTAGGGAAGGTCTTGCGACTTCTGGTCTTGATGTCCCCCGTCGTTTTCGGGGAGGTTTCTCTGAGCATAGTGCGGACCCCCTGACAGCAGCAGCTCTTCCTTTGATACCCAGCCAGTCAACTTCAGCGTCTAGTGAAACAATGTCTCAGGCCGCATTTGCACCTTTGGGGAAGTCGCCAGATTTGCATCCTGGCATCTTCTTGGCTTCAGCTAAGACCGTACACAGAGTGGTCGACTGCGACGTTGCTGTGTCGCAAGCATGCTGGCAGGGAAGGGCGCCTAAGACGGCTTGTGGGGCGGTCGTTCGCAATGAATGGACAATACTTTTTGAGCTTGAGGCACAGGACGCTTCTGGGGCACGCCGTGCGCTTTGCAAACGGCCTTCCTGTTTTGGCAGTGGCCTCTGCCTTTGACCTCAGATCATCTTTTTGCGGCGAATACCAGTAAAAGGATCTCGATTTCGCTTAGTCTTGCATCACTTTGCTTTCGAGTTTTGTTTGCTTTGCATTTTAGTCAGTGCTTGGATCGGAACTTCAGTGCTTACTCGCTTCACATCGGCCCAGCTTTTGGCTCTTACCTCCTGTGGGGGGGGATCGGGATTGCAGAGCTTTGTCCCTTGGCCTAGCACTCAGAGATTCTGAACTGCAGGTGAGCGTCTTGTGTAATAACTACACAGCTGTTCAGTGCTTCGCTTTCGCACTCAGAGCTTGTGCATCTTCATTTCGCCGCTTTACCTCAGAGCTTTTGGCTTCGCTCTAGCCTTTCCCATCTTTGACACGGGAATTGTCTTTTGCTTTGGTGGCTCTGCCCACCCTTGCTTATTGCTGGCTGGCAATGGCAAGTACTGACATTTTCCTGGGCCTGGCAGAAGCTGATGTCAACAAGGCAGTGGCGTGGCTGGAAGACGCGCGCCACATGCCGGCGTCCAGTGGTTTTTCGCCAACGCAATGGCTGTGGCATTGGCTTTCGTCTACGCCAGCCTTTGCGCCTGTAACGGAAGCTGCGGAAAAGATGGACACCGTCTTTGGCTTTAGCTCTGGCGATTGGGCTTTTCATTGGATCGAAGAGATGGAAAAGGCTACCCTGAACCCAGGTTCAGCAGCTTCCCAGGCCGCGCCGGCGCAGACTGCTTTGGACAGCAAGTGGCCGCATTTTCCTAATGGCCACCGCTCCCTGGGATTGGCACCGGCAGACCTTCTCCGTGCTCATGCGTGGTTGGAGGAAGCCGCTTCTTTCAATGGTGCCGGTGGCTGGGAAGAAGACGATTGGCTTCGCTATTGGATGGAGCAGGATCCGGTCTTTGAGACTTTGCTTCAGCGCGCTAAGGAGGCTGACCATGGCTGGAATATTGGTCAATGGCTTTGGCTTTGGGTGTCGCAAGCCGACCGACCTCAGCCACCGCCGGCGCCTCCTTTGGACACCGCGCCGCCTCTGGCTACCGGCATTGGGCCGGACGCTTTCCCGCTCAGCCAGCGCAATGAGACGGTTATCGTCCGGCAGATTTACTGCCGTTCCACATGTCAGGACTGCGGGGCTGTCCATTGCGGGGTCGTGCTTACACGCGAAGACTTGCCTCATCGGCACCGCTGTGGCATTTGTTACAAAGCTTTTAGAAGGGCACAAGGGCAACCCTGAGAAAGCCTTTACTTCAGCATTTGGCCCTTGTTTTGCCCTCCTCTTCCTCGGCTTTGCCCTTTTAGAGGGGCACAGTGCATAGAGCATTGCTGGCTTTGTTTCGCCGCATTTTCCCTCAGCAAGCTTTAGGCTGCTCGAGGGCGTTTGGCATCGGAGCACGCCGATGGAAATCAGAGCTTGGGTGCGGCTTCGGAGCTTCTTTCATTTTGGTTGCTTTTGTGTACTTTCCTTTTATACATGTTCTCGCGCCCAGGTCTGGCTGTGGACGCTCCACACATTCTTCCAGGCGCACCTCTCAGAGGGTTTCGTCCTTTCCTTGGACCAGCCTTTTTTTTTTTTGGCTTTGCACTGGCTTTGCGGTCTTCTTCTGTGCGTCAAGCGCTTGTATCTGCTTTCTCTGCTTTTCCTTTGTCACTTTGGCCGACACAGGTTCTATGGCCGACCCAGGGAGCGACAATGGGCGAGGCCTTCTCGTGCCGCCGACTCCCTCAGACAAGCTCTCAGTTCTTTGGGAATCCTTGAACCTTGATTTCCCGGAAGAGGTTGCCTCCCATTCGGAGTTGAACCGCACCATTCGCAATTTTGGGTTCTTGGCTACCTCCTTTGATCAGTTGGATCAGTGGTTGGAGTCACACGGTCTCCTGGACTTTGGCTCCGGGACACATGCGGACCTTCGGTGTCTTTGGCACAGGTCACATGCCTTGGCTTGCTCTGAGGGCCACACAGCAGCCGTGCCCTTTCCGCCGCAATCCCCTGCTCTGCCCTTGCCGCAGGACCAGTCCTTCAGCTCGGCTTCAGACCCTAGCCGCACCGTGTCTGCTGCCGCGTCATGGAACGAGCCCTTCCCAGCTAAGCTCTCTTCAGACAAAACGGCCGAGCTTCGAGCCGCTTTTCTGCGGAAATACCCTAGCGAGGTTTTGGACGACTCCACCATGCCTTCGGCTCGTCTCGTCCCAAGAATGGCGCTTCATCCCTTGGCGTTGGCGCATGTCAGTGCTTGAGCTTGAAGAGCAGCAGTTGCAGCGCCCCCGCAAGCTGGCCAGGACTGAGTTGGCAGACCTCATTTTGGATGATGTCCCTTCTCGGAACCTCCCGGACACACTGGGCATGTTTGCATTGAGCAAGATTTTGCACCTGCACAGTGTGGCGATGGCCATGGTCACTGATGTGCATTTAGTGACGCTTAAGAAGTACGAGTCCACTTTCCTCCGCTTTGCTTCGGCTCGCTTTGACAGTAGCAGTGGCCTTCGCCCACCCAATGCATTGGAATGTGAGCAAGCAGATCGTCGATTCTGGGAGGCCGTGTCCGAACTCCGTTTGCAAGGTTGGTCTTTGGACGACTGCATCCATGAGAACACAGCCGTCCGCAGCGAGCTGGCCTCTCTTTTGGCGCCGCGCGTTTTCCTGCCCAAGGCCATGCGCCGCCCAGAGGGCAAAGGAGCAGGTGGAGGAAAGGGCAATGGCTCCGGTGCTGGCTTTGGCAACGGACGAGGACGCGGCAAAGGCAAGGGGGATGGACGAGGTCGTGGGAGTGGCCTTGGCACCGGTCGTGGGGGATCCGGTCTGGGCAACCAAGGCAACTCCGCGGGGACCTCCACAAATCGCCAGGAGTGGGCATCCTCCGCAAAAATTAACGGAGAAGTCAAGACCCTTTGCATGCGCTGGAGTCAGCGCACAGGATGCAAAAATCCGTCATGCCGCTTTGAACACCTTTGTCCCGTGAAGCTTCCCAGTGGCAAGATTTGTCTTGGCAACCACCCGGCTTGGCAACATACTGACACCCCGCATTGAGGGGGACCGGACCCGTCTTTCGAGCAGGCAGCTGGGTCCGGTCTGCCTTTGTCCGTGCCTGCCATTTTGCCTTTGTCCTCCCAGATCTCTCCAACTCCGACAATTGCTGCTCAGGCAAAGCAGGCACCCGAGCCTCTGATGCCCATTTTTCCTCACACGGGGGCTTTGGCTTTGTCTGTTTCTGACTCGCCATCCCCAAGAAGCCACACAGATCCTGATGTGGATTTTTCAGCCCCAGACAGCCTCGATCCAACGCTATCTTCTGCGCCGGTCTCCACAGAGTCCATGCCAGGGCCTTTTCCTCCGGCCTCCTCGCGGGTCACCTCCGCCCTACAGTCAGTTCGGGATTTCAAGCAACCCTTCTTCCTGGACATTTGCGCGGGAGCGGGTTCGCCACTCAGCTCAGCATTCTTGGAGAAGGGAGCACCTTGTTTGTCTATTGACATTCTCATTGACACAAACATGGATCTTCTCCAGGACGACTTCTTTGAGCATTTGCTGCGCATTTGCACGTCCCGGCAGAATGGTCTTCCCGATTTGTCGGCATCGCAGGCTCTTAGGGTCCAGGAGAGCCACCTTGTCTTTGTGCGTTGCGTTCAGCTGCTGCATGTCAGCTTCTCTTGCGGCGCGCAAGTGTCGCTCGAGCAGCCCCCTAACAGCATGGCCTGGATGGAGCCGATTGCGACCAATTTCTTGGCAGCCATCAGTGCGGATCTGGTCCATGTGGCCGCTTGCTCCGTCGATCTTGACATGCACAAAGCCTGGCTTTTCGCCACGTCATTTAAGGCTTTTCAGGCTTTTGCCTCTACATGTCCACACACCGAGGGGACCCACTTGGCTCTGCAGGGTTTGCGTGATGAGTCCGGCAACTTTTGCAGCCGAGCTTCTGCGGAGTACCCCCCCTTTTAGCAGACATGTATGCGGAGCAAGCTCTGCCCCTCTTCGACGTGGATCAAGGGGGTGGTACGGCCCTTTCTTTCGCCTCGGTGCCTTTGCTTTCCAAGCCTAAGGCCCTTCACGAGGCTCCCGTGGCCTCACAGGATGGGGCCGGTATCCTCTCCACGCCAGACTGGAGCGCTCCACCCTCGGGAGCCACAGATGTGTTTGCGCGCCTTAGGCCTAAGCTGATGGCCTTTCTTCTTCAGGGTCGTTTCCCACAACGTTTGCGCACTTTGGTTTTGGGGGGATCCGCGGAACCCCTTTTCTCCAGCTCAGAGATAGCCGATCTGCGTGGCATCTTCCAGGACTGGCTCTCCGCGCATTTCCCTGCCATTTCCGTCTCCTGGGAAATCTCCGCAGGGCAACCATACTGCCTCCAGGTGCTGGCAGCTGTCTCACGCATTTGCCAAGATCGAGACTCATCCTTGTTCACCTGTCTGGAACAGGGTGTTCCTACTGGCTTTGACGGGGACATTCCGTTGTCCAATGTCTTCCTGCCACAAGGTGGCGGCCATCCTTTCGAGCAATCACTTGGCATTTGTCATGGTAATTGGTCCAGCGCTGAGGCGGATCTTCCAACCTTGCATGCCTTAGTGGAAGAGGAGATTTCCAATGGCTGGTTCTTGGAGCTAGATTCTTTGGAAGCGGCTCAAGAGCGTTTTGGCGACAAGCTGGCCATTGGAAAGATGTCCATCGTCAAAGCTGAAGGCAAAAAGCCCCGTCTTGTGGTTGATTCCACTGTCTGTGGCACTAATCCGTCTTGCTCAATCCCCGAAACGTACACACTCCCGGGCATTGACGATGTTAGGGATTCTTTCCCTTTGCGGTGTCACTCTGGCCTCTGCGCGGGGTTTGCTTTTGACATCAAGTCCGCTCACAAAACGGTTCGAGTTCGCGATTCGGATCAGGGGCTGCTCGGGGTCTCTCTCCCGAAAATTCGAGGTCCTGGCCGTCGTTGGCTTTTACCGCGTTTGTCCTTTCGGAGCGAACTTCTCGGCCCTCTGGTTCCAGCGACTGGAAAGCTTTTTCCTTCGCACTCTTCACCTTTGGACCTGGCTCCGACACGCCCTACTGGGCTACGTGGACGATTTTATCCTGTTTCAGGACCAGGAGGTCATCGGCCTTACAGCGTGCATGACATTGGCTTTTTGTGCCTTGTTCAACATACCCCTGTCCAATGCCAAGTTACAGCTTGGCAGCTGTATCCACTGGATAGGCTGGCATTTTTCTTTCGGCTCTGGCACTTTCTCCATTCCGATTGACAAAGTCCAGAAGCTAAAGCGCCTGCTGCAGGAAGCCTTACAATGTCGCCATGTTTCGAAACGGACCCTGGACAAGGTCACCGGGTTGTTGCAGTGGTTTTGCAAGCTATATAAGCATTTTAAGCCCTGGCTGCAAACCCTGTACGCTGATGCGAACCGTCCATTGGCCACCAACTACAGCATTGACCCTGGCGATTGGCCCGGCTTGGCCATTTGCGTTAACGAGGGTCTTGTCTTCACTTCCACGCCGCCGGGAACGAGCATCCCGACGGGCGCGAAGCTCATTGAAGCCAGGCACTTGGCCCTGCAGTCTAAGAAAGACCTTGCCAAAATTCCCACCTCCAAGCGCATTTGGATGAGAGTGACGGACCCCTCCACCACTCGCCGCAAGCTTTCAGTTTCTAGCCGTGAGAGCCTTCAGTTCTGGCTTAAGTGGTGCGAGGTTCCACCCCTTTTTTTTCCTTTGCAGAAACCTGCGGACGTTCCCATTGTCTGCGCTGCTGCCGACGCCCGCGCGGATGGGGACCTTGTCGGGATAGGGGGTTTTATCGAATGGCCTTCACGCCAAATTTCGTGGTTCAGCCAGTCATGGCGTGTCCCAGACCTTTCTTCACTGGGTGTGCCTTTGCAGGTGCCAGCTCACCAGGACATCACATGTTACGAGACATTGGCACAGCTTGGCCTCATTCTTTGTCTCCATTCCGTGGTGCCCTTGGCACGCTGGACAGTCCGTCTCCGCACTTTGTCCGACAACACAGGCGCAGAGGCAGGCATCAATAAGCTCTACAGCTCGGCTTTTCCTTTGTCGGTGTTTCTGAAACGCCTGTCCATGTTGGCGTGCTTGACTGGCATTGAGCTTGACGTCTTCCACGTACCCGGCGAAAAGAATGACGATGCGGACCTGCTCTCCCGCTGGAGTGATGAGTCCCAGCCCTTGCCTGCCAAGTTTCTTCCGGACTTTCGTGTGGATTGCAGCCTGGCACGCATCTGGCACTTTCGTTCCGATGTGCGTCTTTGGCCTCCAGATGCCAAACTCAAATGGCAACCGCCGTAATCACTTTCCTGAGCTTTGTTGTGAGAGCCTGGCATAGTCTGCGCTCACTTAGAAGTTGGGTAGGTAGGCCCGGCGAGCTTTGACTTTGCCAGTTTGAAAGTTGGTCTTTTACGCTCAGTTTTGCTACGCATCATCTGCTTTGCATTCTGCTTCGAACTCTGAGCGGCATTTCCGGCAAAGTCAAAAAGTGGGAGAGCGCGTGGTGCAGTGCTCGCTTAGGCTTAGGATTCCGTAGGCCTTTGTTAGCTTTGGTAGTGTGGCTTGAACTTGCAGCGAACGGGTCATGTGTTTACTCATAGCTGTTTGCTGTTTGAGAAAGATCACCGTACTTTGTCATTTTGGTTCAAGCCACACACCAAACCAGTACAATGCTGGCTAGCTTTACTTTTGACCCACCCACCACTCCCTCTTTGAAGATACGCCCGGGCTTGCATCGTTTCACACAGTTTCACAAGATGCGAAGTGGCATTCTCCTTTGTATTACGCTCAGATTTGCTACGCCTATCTTCTTTGCATTCTGCTTTGAGGTCTTGGTCTTTAACGCTCTGATTTGCTACGCATCATCTGCTTTGCATTCTGCTTTGAACTCTGAGCGGCATTTCCGGCAAAGTCAAAAAGTGGGAGAGCGCGTGGTGCAGTGCTCGCTTAGGCTTAGGATTCCGTAGGCCTTTGTTAGCTTTGGTAGTGTGGCTTGAACTTGCAGCGAACAATCGAGTTCGGCTGATCAATCGTATTTGTTTTGACCCGAGACTCGATGTACCTCAAGGTCCTACGAAGATGGTGAGTAGCGAAGAGTCCGAAGTTCACGAGTCTGGGTAGGCCCCTGGGATATTTAATATTGTTTTGGAATTTGGGCATGGATTTCAAGTTTAGGCCCGAAAACAGGAACCGACGTAGCCCTTTTGAACCCTGAACCAGCCCCTGACCGACAACTCCAAACGCCCTGCAACAGTAACCGCTTAGTTAGGGTTTAGGGTTTAGCGTTCAGGTTTAGGGATTAGGGTTTAGGCCCCAAACCCTGAATCCTTAAGTGCCCAAACCCTAGCCTTAAACTTAAGAATATGCATGTCGTGCCGGTCAACTTCAACGTGGCCCGATCCCGCACGGGGGCCAAGTGACAGGGTTTTGGGTGGAGGCTCAGTTCGGGTTCAGGGTTCGTCGTTGAGGACGCTGGCCGTCAGGCCTGCGGCCGTCAGTCAGGACGCCGGCCGTCAGGTCGCCGGCCGTTAGGCCGCCGACTGTCAAGTCGAAAGAGTTCGTCCGTCAGGACGCCGGCCGTCAGGCCGCCGACCGTCAGGTCGATCCAAAAGTAGGGCCCGAGTATGTCATCCCTCACATAATGGCCCGATTTTTGTATCAATTCCCTCCGCAGTGTTTATGTTCCCCGGACAAGGATATCGTCCTGAACCCCATAGTCACAACCCGGTGTTCTGTCAGAGATAGATGGATGTCCACTGGATGTGGATCAGACAATGGAAGGCCGGCGAACTGAGCAGAGTATGAATGCTCACAACGCGGGGAAGGGTGGTTGGAGCAGATGAGGCTCACAAGTTTGCCCGAGAGCATAAAATGGTGAATGGGAAAGAAGCGGTGCGAGCTCGGTGTGTGGTACAGGATATCGAAAAAAGGGAGCACTGCATCATTGCTGGGATTGAGTGCTACGACTCCATCGCTTGAGGCGTTGAGGACGTTGTTGGCCATTGCTGCTGTGGATGGCATGGATATTGCGACTTTGGATGTCTCCACTGCTACATGCCATGAATGGTTTGAGGGTTGCTGCCAAAGCCTGGAACTTGAAGCTGGCAACGGTGGTGAAGAAGGTTGGGTTGAAGCAATGCCCAACAGAGCCCTCCGTCTTTGAGGGTACGGAAAAAGATTCCTCATGTTGTGTTATGTGGACGATTTGATCCTGTGTGGGACCAAAGAGGCCATTCGGTTGGTGACCGACACACTGAACGGTGAGTTGAAGATCAAAGAAACGGGTCGAATCACCTCCTCCGGGGGCGAGAGATTGAGAGACATGGAAGTCATCTCAGGATGAGAATGCCCCCAGCATATCTGGGACCACAAGCACCCAACGCCCAAAAACGAGGCCCCAAATTGCCAAAGCTCTGAACCCAAAGTACTGGCCCCAAGCCTGCAGAAGCCTTGAAACAGACACACACCCCGAGAACCCAAACACCCTTGTAACAGTAAAGCGCTTCTCCCAAAACATGCTTGACCCTCGCCCTCTCCTCCCACCCTAAGCCAGAAACCCACTCAAAGGCCTAAACCCCAAGTTAAACCAAAGAACAAGAAGATGCTCAAGAACTCGAAGGTCCTCGGTCTCTGTCCGGCTCTCATCCTCGTCCAGTGCCCCGGCGGAATGAAAAGAGACCACGGCGGAGAGGCTTTTTTTTTTTTTTGAGGGGGGGGGGGGGAGGTGTTCTGACAGCTTCTTAGTGGATAGTAGGATGGATTGGATGTGTTTAGTTTTTTTTTGGTTTTTCTTATTTTTTTGTGTCTGTGTTTTGTTGTTTTCTACCTGGGTGCGGGCCTAGTTTTCAGGGCTTGGAGTCTTAGGGCGATGTTGTGAGGATTTCACAAGGGCTCGGCTTCACGTTCTAGTTTTATGTTTTGGGATTTGAGGTGGGTGTTGGGGGCATTGGGGTGCAGTGTTGCGTGTTTTGAGTTTGGCTTGGGTGTCCTGCATGCGGTTGTGTCAGCTTCGGTGTTCACCCGACCCGTGAGATCAAGGCTGCTGCTGCAGCTAGCCGATTGTTTGCTTGTCGAATGTCCTTGAGATCCCTCAGCTCCAGGATCGGCGCTGCTGACCCAGGCGAACGAGGCACATGCCATACACTGACGCCGCGTCACAAGGCTTTCAACCGGAAGCGAGCCCCTGATTGCGTGTGTGAAACATTGCCAATGAAGTTCCGCTGTGCAAGCGCTCTACGCCCAGCACTAAACCCAAAGCCCTCCACCATGGCCCCAATTCCCAAACCCCGGAAGACACGAAACTTCCTACAGCACACCCCCACCCCGAAGCCAGCACTTCGAAAGTCGATGACTCTCGTGTGGACTTCGTAAATGGGATCCATAAATAAGCTCCTGAGGGTTCTGTTCTGGCATTCAGTGCCGTGGGTCCCTAAACCCTAAACCCTAAACCCTAAACCCTAAACCCTAAACCCTAAACCCTAAACCCTAAACCCTAAACCCTAAACCCTAAACCCTAAACCCTAAACCCCTAACCCCTAAACCCTAAACCCTAAACCCTAAACCCTAAACCCTAAAGCCTAAACCCGAAACCCGAAACCCGAAACCCGAAACCCTAAACCCTGAACCCTAAACCCTAAACCCTAAACCCTGAACCCTAAACCCCTGGACATGAATTTGGGATTTAGAGCAAAGCAGGGTCCCCGAGTCCCCGAGTGTGTCGCAGAGGCTTTCGACGCCGTTTTGCGTGCTCTGCCGCTTGACCTGTCAAGGATTCAGAGCGAAGGGGACATTTGGATGTGTGGTTTTAGGGTTTACCATTTTAAGGAGCAGCAACGCTAGGTGACTGAGAATAGATGCGTGCGTGTTGCGATGAATCGGTGGCCTGCCTACACCAAAGGATAAATGGGCCAATGGTGCGAAATCATAGAATCAGGGCTTTGTGTCTATCTTGTGTGTCTAGAAGTGGAATCGCATGGTGCCTCATGGTCTGGGAGATCCTCAACGGCAAGCCCTGAAAAGCATCCTCGCATTTCAATTTTGTGGACTTCGCTCCCCTCAGAAGTAGGGGTGGACTGTACTTTAAAGCTGTCTGCTCACGCGTCGCAGCCGCTGTGGACTTCGTGGTCCAGTCGTGCATCCTTGTTTGCTAAAGACGACCTCTGTGTCGGAATCGATTTGGCCCAAAGTTGCAGGCTGGAACGAATTAAGCCCAGGGCGAGTCTGTAGGTCTGGAGGTGGGTTCACAACACACTCGTTGTCGGAGGAAGGCCCAAAAAGTCCCTTACCCTATCTTACCCTTTCTCTCGCAGCCGCAGCTCCTGTCCGAGCTGTGCGTTTGGAGCCATGGAAGATCTTCAAGAAGCTCCTGAGCTCAAGGACCGAAGTTCCTTTGAACGCCACCTCGACAGCTCTTGGAAGGACTTCCGGCAGAAACTGCTTGACGCATACGTTGCCTCGCAGTCCCTGCAACTTTCCACGGAGCTGGGAGTCGATCAGACAGCGGAGGCCCCATCAGACGCAACAGGGCAGCCGAGTCCCGAAGAAATACCTGCGGCTGCCGATGGCAGCGAAGTACCGGCCAAGCAGCGCCGCTTCAGTGAAATCGAGGAGTTGACCCTGACCTGCCCCTTTCTGAAGAGTGGGCTGCAAGGTCTAAGCCCCAAGGAGATGGAGTCCGTGAGAAATCGGCTCCGGTTGCGCCTGGGCATCTTGAACTCCAAGCAGCTTGTCTCAGGCCGGATCTTGAGGGATGCTGTTCAGGCACTGGGCCTGACGATCTACGGTGAGGAGGACATGAACGAGTTCGTGAACCTTCTGGCCGACTTCATCAGCCTGCAGTTCCGCCTTGTCCAGAAGGCCAAGGGAAGCCAGAGTTCTTTGTCCTCCTTGAACTCCCTCTTCAGCTTCGGGGAGACTGCGTCCGCCGATGTCGCAAAGCTTGGCAAGCCCACTTGGCATTGGCCTGCGGCCGATAAGGCGGGCGCGGGCTACGAGCGAAAGGAGCGAAAAGGCGACATTGAGTACGACTGCGTCCCAGCACTCCCGTTGCTGGAGATCTTCCTTTCGCAGGAGTCGGAGGTGCATAAGCACATCTTCGGGTACAAGTTGAACCAGTACAGGGCCATTCGAGAGATTCTGCTCGCAGGGGATACGAACCGCTTGGTGGCAGAATTGACCTTTGTCAGAATTAACGACTTGGCCACTCCTCCTGAGCCGATGCATCCCATCATGTACCTCGAGCCCTTTGTTGCTTTAATCATCTTCGCCAACGGCGTCATGATCGGCTTCCAGACTGACCCGCAGTACAAGGATTGGCCGGGCTGGATCTACGTAGAGATGATCTTCGCAATGCTGATGCTCGCAGAGATCTGCTTTCGCCTTTGCGTGCTTCGCTGTGCCGCCTATTGGTGTGGGGCTGATCGCTGGTGGAACATGATCGATGTTTTCCTTGCGGCGACGAGTGTGTCGGACATCGCTTTGCAGTTGGCGGGCTTTGCGTCGGATCTGGAGGGCACGTCCCTGCTTCGCTTCTGTCGGCTGATCCGCCTCATCCGTATAGTCAAGCTTTTTCGAGTGAAGGCTATGAGGGAACTGCGCCTGATGGTGAAGGGCTTGTTGGCCGGCATCCGAACCCTGCCTCTTGCCTTCGGACGCTCTAGTGCGGAGCTTCTTTCGCTTTTCGTGATGCTTTAGTGTGGCTCTTGTGCCCTTGTCTAGCGACCTCATCGTAAACTCAGCCATCACAGGTCTCTTGCGTTCGTGCTGCTTTTCGCAGTCCTCTACGTGATCGCAGGCTTTGCTACTATGACCATCGGGAACTTAGAGCGAACCGCGGAGATTGGTCTTGGGGACTACTTCTTCAACATCCCTACATCCATGTTTACAGCCTTCCGGTGTTTTACAGGTGAGTGCATCAGCGATGATGGCCGGCCTCTCCAATCCTTACTCGCTGCCGAGTATGGCATCATCTTTGTTGCTGGCTATGTCGCAAGCTACATGCTGGTAGCCATGGGCATCTTCAATGTTATCCTGGCAGTTTCGTTGTCATAGTTGGATAACATTTTGCGCCTGTATGGATACTTAAGCTCAGTATGTACATGTTGAATTCTATCCGACTATCCCAACCATGAACTAGGTTTATGTGGACATCACCATGAAGGCGGCCAAGGAGAACGATGCAGTCAGCGCCGAGCAGCATGCGCGGGAGTCCATCCGGGTCGCCCGGACGACGCGGGAGCCTGGGTTCTTGTTAGGGAATTTAGTTTAAGTTACCATAATATGTAAGCCTCGCTTGCTGAGTCGAGCGCGAGTGCTTAAAAAGGTTACCATAGTCTGTATCTCTAGCAAATAAGATGGTTCCTTTTATTATGTTAGCTTATAATAGTTAAATTCCTTAACAAGAACCCAGGAGCTTCTCAAGATCTTCAGTGCAGCGTACCACTCCTTCCGGGACAACACTGCGGACGATCAGGTTATGAAATATCCATCGGCCGCTACGTTCGCGGAGGACGGCATGCACGACCAGGTGGCCATCACCAAGGAGCTGTTCTTGCTAGTGATCCAGGACAGAAAGGTTCAGCAACTGATGGACGACCTCGATCTGCCACCGGATCGCGCCAACCTCTTCGAGATGCTGGATGCGGACGGTTCTGGGACCTTGCAGACCACGGAGCTGCTGCAGGGCTTGCTGAAGATCCGTGGAGAGGTGAACAAGAGCGACACAGTAGCATCACTCTTGGCCACGAAGGCTGTTCAAAACTTGGTCAGCGATGTGAAGGACCAGAACTCCAGGCTGCTGGAGACCCTGAGGAAGAGCAGCTCCCAGCTCGCTGCCCTTCGGAGCGAGGTGGTTGCAATGAGCCGGGACGGTGGCAGAAAGCCACGGGATCTTTCCTCGGACCGGAACCGTGTGGCAAGCCCCTCCCCAGCAGATGGCATATCCAGCAAGCTCTTGAACGTCCAGGCGCCGGGGCGTCCCGGGTCGCCGTGCCAGACCGAGGACGCACCGCCGTTCTGAGTGCCCGTCCTCGCCCCAAAAAGTGTTCGCAATTGTGGTTCGAGCTCACTTCTGCAGAGCAGAAGTTGCGACTTGACAAAGCCTGGTACAAAAACCGGTCCCTTCTGGTCCCACACGGGGCCTTCGGCTGTGAAAAGTCTACTGTACCCGTATAGCAACGATTGAACTAGGGGGTGTGTAAGCAAGTTCAAGCATTTCGGAGGTGGCCTGGGTCCTGGGTTCTATCAGTGAATTCGTGCACTTTCTCCTAGTCGCTGGATTTTTCTTCCGGTATCCGGAACGTGCCAGAGCTTAAGGCTTGGGCTGACTCAGACCCAGCACGATGCGCCGAAACAACGACGCGATCAAGTCTGTAAGGTGTCGGAGTCTGAGACCTCAGACGGATAGAGCCGGAATGAAACTGCTCGTTAGAGATCCCACTCCAGAACCCTAAACCCTAAACCCTAAACCCTAAACCCTAAACCCTAAAGAACCTACAAGCCCCAAACTCCAAACCGCAAACCCAAACCCTCAACCCTCAACCCTCAACCCTCAACCCTCAACCCTCAACCCTCAACCCTCAACCCTCAACCCTCAACCCTCAACCCTCAACCCTCAACCCTAAACCCTAAACCCTAAACCCTAAACCCTAAACCCTAAACCCTAAGAACCCGAAACCCTAAATCCTAAGAACCCGAAACCCTAAACCCTAAACCCCAAAGCCCAAAACCCTAGCCAGCCCCCGAATGAGGCGCTTTGCCATGCTTTGCCCCCCGCGCAGTGGCGCCTCGAAGCGCGGTGGCACATCGCCATCCTGTCCCGTCGAGACTTGTGACCTTTCTTTTGTTGGGTATGGGTTAGGGTTTAGGGTTTAGGGTTTAGGGTTTAGGGTTTAGGGTTTAGCGTTTAGGGTTTAGGGTGTGGGGTTTGGAATCTTGCATCGGGTTGTAGTGAAACTGCCCTGGTGGGTACTCAACTGGGTTTAGCATCTCGCTATCTGCACAAAAGGAAACGGCAGATGTCCCCTTATCCACCCTAATGGCTCAGCACCAGCATGTGTGTGGGACCACAGGGAGTCTGCCCGCCCCTCAACTTGTTACCTTCGGCGCAGGGCCGGCGCCTCCCATCAGTCAAAGGCGCTGGGACGACGCTTTCCCCTCAACTCAATGTTTTTTGCAACGGAACGACGCCCTGTTGCAAACAAACTGCACCCCATACACTGGCCGGCACCAGTTTGGTTGAAAGCCCACTCCATCACCCGTAGCCCTCGAAAGGCCGAAAGGTCACATGAGCACCTTGTGACCTCAACAGATGCACTGCAGAGTGCAACTCACGCAGGCCGCACCAAACCAGGACTGGGCCCCTGGGGACGGCTAAACGAACTCCTGCAACTCAAGACCCCAGCAACCAAACAAAGCAGGAGAAAGCGGAGGGAAACCTACCTCTCACTTGACCAACCCCGGTGGAAGGCAAGACTAGAGAGGGCAGGCCCGTAGACCCCGCAACGCTACCATACGCTACCTGGCGACTGGGCAGGGAGCATCCTAAAGCCACCAGCGTTCCTCGTCTTCGGCACAAGCCCAAGCAGAGCCCCCCCAAACACTTGGTAACCAAAAACTGCGTTGGTTTATGATCGGTTTCATCGAATTGGTTCGCGTGTCTTTTTTAGTTTTGTAGTTGATTTTGGGGGGTATTCAACCATTGTGGACGACTAGCAGGTGAAAGTGAGAGGCTGCACTGCCCAACCATGATGAATTGTTAACAAGCATGACGTGACCTGTTGCGCAGTTTTGGATGTTTCGATGTTGAGGGACATGTGCAGACCTGTGGCTGTGGGGTCTCGTGAAAGATTGTTGGTGAGGTTCCAAACTTGGGAATCTTCCGGGATGGGCTGGAGTGATCGTTTCCTGTGCCAGCAGTTCAAATGCAAATCTGGGCTCAAGCACTTGAATGTGATCACCAGCTTCTGAACATCCCGGGTGATGAATGGTGCTAAAATTCAACAACAATTCAACATTGTGGCTATATGACTCAATGAATGCTTATGTAAAAATCTTTGATCGCTATTTACCATGATAGGCAGTAGTTCATGGCTCAAAAGTGGATCAATCTTCCCGGGCCGCCAAGTCGAATGACTTGGGCAAACCAAAACAAGTGAGTTGGATTTGTTCATCTCCGTCTTGCAGCCATGGATGATGAAGTGCTACCCATTGTGATTGACAATGGCAGTGGACTGTGCAAAGCCGGCTTTGCAGGTGACGATTTTCCACGGGCCGTTGTCCCATCGATCGTGGGCCGGCCAAAGCCTGGAAGCACCGACATGGACCCGGACAGCGACAGCTGCTCGGCCACCTTTCAGGGTTTAGGGTTTAGGGTTTAGGGTTTCGGGTTGCCACCCACCCACCAGGATCATTCCAGTTGATGGTCGCACCGCCCCACCAAGTGCTGGCGATCCGCTCACATTTGTTGGTCCTAGTTTTCTGTTGCTTGCCCACCAGCCAGGCTATGTTGGAAAAGAAGCGCTGAAGAGGCAGCGTGCGCTGAACTTGAACCACCCCATCCGCGATGGCATTGTGACCAAGTGGGCTGACATGGAGACTCGGGGCTGGTCTCGGTTTGTTCATGTAATGACATGTAATGACATGTAATGACATGTAATGACATGTAATGACATGTAATGACATGTAATGACATGTAATGACATGTAATGACACACCGGAGCCCTGCATAGTTTTTGACCGCAAAGCGTCACCAGGAGAAGATTTGGAGTCACATCTTCTACAATGAGCTTCGAGTGGCTCCTGAAGAACATCCAGTCTTACTAACTGAAGCAGCTCTGAACCCAAGGGCCAATCGCGAGAGGATGACCCAGATGATGTTTGAGACCTTCAACGTGGCAGCCGTCTATGTCATCAGCCAGGCTGCCTTGGTGTTGTATTCCTCGGGCCGACTCACCGGCGTGGTGATGAACAGCGGCGAAACCCTCAGTGAAGCCGTGCCGGTCTACGAGGGCTATCCGGTGCCACATGCCATCACAGCTTCGCCCGTGGGAGGGCGCGACCTCACGGAGTACATGATGAAGCTCCTGAACGAGCGCGGCTGGTCCTATGGCGATTTCGAGCTCGTGGGGGACGTCAAGGACCGCGTTTTACGACTTTTGGGGATGGTTTTTTCTTGAAGCCACACGTATCAGAGGACAGCGTTAGTGTGTAATATGGGTTGCTGAATGATGGTTACCACCCTTATTTACCATTTCTAGCCATTAATCAATTGGTCGTGACTGTCATTGGGTAACCCTTCTTGATTGTGCAACTTGATGACTGATGATTGCTGATCAATGGTTTCCTTTCATGGTCTAGCCACGCTGCAACACGGGACCGCACAGGAGCATCTTTGCTACATTGCCCTGAACTTTGCCGAGGAGATGGAATGTGCGGCTGAAAGTTCCGAGCTTGAGAAGACCTATGAATTTGAGGACGGCGTCGTCACGGTGGGTGATGAGCGCTTTCGCTGTCCCGAAGCCTTGTTCGAACCAGCGCGGATGGGCAAGGAGGGCAGCGGCATCCATGACATTACCTTCCAATCTATCATGAAATGCGATGAGGCAATCCGACGGGACTTGTTTACATCTGTGGCACTATCGGGTGGCACCAGCATGTTCCCAGGCATTCAGGCGCGCATGAGCAAGGAGTTGGCTGCCTTGGCGCCTGTCGTGGACATCAAGGTACTGGCTCCTTCGGAACGGAAGTACGCTGCCTGGATGGGTGGCTCCATCATGTGCACCTTGTCATCGTTTGAGGAGATGTGGATCTCGCAAAGCGCGTACGATGAGTCTGGTCCTGCCGTGGTCCATGAGAAGTGCTACGGAGCATCGGAATCCTAATCGGGTTTCCGGCTTTCCGGTGCGGCTGCGAGTTTTCAAGAAAGGGATCAGGGTTTAGGGTTTAGGGTTTATTTAGGGTTTAGGGTTTAGGGTTTAGGGTTTAGGGTTTAGCGTTTAGGGTTTGGGCTGTTACGTAAGTGTACAAATCGATTCATGCAGCTGTGTCGCAGAGGGCTTTGGCCCTCAGGTTCACAGCAAGTCGAAGCAGTGCGCTCCGCTCCGGCTCGGCGAGTCAAAAGCAATGCTGGTGATTCCTTGGGTTTAGGGTTTAGGGTTTAGGGTTTAGGGTTTAGGGTTTAGGGTTTAGGGTTTAGGGGCTTCAAGAGTGCCGATATGGGTTACCCAATGCCACAGTTACCACCCACGATTTCATGGTTGACAATGGTAAATAATGGTGGTAACAATTACTGGGGAACCCACACTATATGTGATATATACATAGTGGGGAACCACAGGATATAGATGGTGTATAGTTCTATTCTCAGTATGGTTTCATGGTAATATTCGGGAAAGCCATGCTTAGCTAGCGTCAGGCTGCGTGGCGAACCGAAAAGCGACGTCAATAAGGAGGGCCTTGTTGCGATGGTTTGCAGTGGTTCGTAGCTAATGATGGTTAGTACTATTACATATTAACAATGGCTTTTAAATATTGTTAAATATGAATAATTTTTGGTTTCGTCAGCTACTGATATGAAAAGAAGCTGAGCTGGTTCAGGATTAAGAACTGATCGTGATTGATTGTCAGTCGTTAGCAATTCATTAGTGACCAATCATGCCTTATAGTTGCTCATTCTGGAAGACCCTGCAAATCGGACATAGCTTGCAGGAACATCGAGGGTGTATTCTGAAAGGCGCATCCCCCAAATCAATTGTTTCTACACCGCTTTTTTCCAGTGGTTTGGTGGCAATTGTTTCTTTCCTTTTTCAGAACCCTCAACCCTAACCCCTAACCCCTAAACCCTAAACCCTAAACCCTAAACCCTAAACCCTAAACCCTAAACCCTAAACCCTAAACCCTAAACCCTAAACCCCAAATGCAGCAACTCCAGGCCTGCATCTAGTTCCCGCCTTCCCGTGCTGTGCAAGTTGGATGTGAGCCGCCTTGAAGCTGGCCGGGTGCATGGCTTAGGGTTTAGGGTTTAGGGTTTAGGGTTTAGGGTTTAGGGTTTAGGGTTTAGGGTTTAGGGTATTAGGGTTTAGGGTTTAGGCGAAGCCATGGCTTGTCTCTGCTTGATAGGAGGGCTCTAGCCCTTTGAGATGAGCCAACGCAGTTACAATGTGCGCCTTTGTCAGAAAAGAGACTGCACAGCGTATAGGATGCAGACCAGCTTGTAAAAACGCGCGACGTTTCATCCATCTTAGGAGGATCCTAGACATTCGGTTGATGGAGGAAATCTTGCACCACTTAGTGAATAACACGTGACACGACACATGAGCATGACCCCGCACCCCATTTATTGACGCTGATGGACACCGAGGTGGTGCAAGATTTGTGTCATTGGAACCCACGGCACTTCCGAGGAAGAACAATCAATATTAAAAAGGGGGCGCGGGGTCTCTACTTTGCTTGGCCATATGAAGCGGTGCAAGATTTCCTCCATCAACAGTTTGACAGACATTTTCAGCTGGCGCGCCCACGCCCATGGCTTTGCCCTGTCCGAACTAGCAAAGGGCTTCGAAGGTTGCCTTCCGTGTGGCTTCAGTATGCCCCAGGGTGCAGCAGTCGGAGAAGGTGACGTTTTAAGGGTCGGGGTCCAGGGGTCGGGACAACAGAACAGGCCCCTGAACTGGACCTATTTGTTTTCCTCCTCCGCCTGCTAGCTTCCCAATGTTCATCAGTGTACCCAACCTGCACCCCTGAGCGTCGCGTCATCGCCCCAAAGCCCCATCAGCGTGAAGAATCACCCCTGAGAGTCGATTCATCGCCCAAAAGCCCCGTCAGCGGAATAGGTCTGCAGACTAATGTGTGCAGCAAAGATGGCTACGATGACCGAAAGAAGGCCAATACCTAAAGAATCAACAAGGAGCCAGTGCCACAGCCTGCCACAGTGGTTAACCACCTCCCTAAATGAACCCCGACCTATTTCCAGAAACCCCAAAATAGGTCCGGACCCATTTCTCGGGGGGTCGCCCCCCACCCACCCCACCCCCTCCCCCCCCACCCCTTCAAGGGGCGGAACTCAAGGCGTGACAGCTAGCGTGCAGCGAGACCACCGGCGGGAACTCGACATTTGCTAGCGAAACAGGTGTGGCCGACAATATGCCGGATGATCGCAAAGCAGCCACAAGCCACTTTGAGAAACGGCTAGCTACCACAAGCAGATTGGCGGGGCTCGGACCTGCAAGTGGCGACAGCAGAGAATCTTCGCTCAGCAGTCGCAGCGTTAGCAGTCCTTCCGACGACTCATGCGACAGCAGCAGCTGAAAATTGGTCCGTGCTAGCATCCTGTCTAGGACATCACGCCTCCATCTCAATCAGCTTTTTTTCCTTTGGACATATGGCGGAACGCAAGTACTGGCGCATCAACGTCAATTTCGGGAACAAGAATTTTACAACAACCCATAAACTTCTTTCATTGCGGAGCCACCATGCGTTGAATCTGGGCCATGCGTTTCAGCCTCCCAAAGCAGAAGCCTCCTCCTCCTCCGGGCCCGAGCTCGCGCGATGGGATGAACTCCATCCCGGAACTCTCCGAGGGAGCCTTGGCGACGTCTCCCTCCTCCAGTCCATGCGCGTCTTCCCAGAAGACCTGGAAGGGATGCCAGGTCGGCCCTGGAGACATTTTGTTTTTTTTTCCCTTTTTGGGTTCAGGAGGATCATACTCAGTTTCTGTTTTCCTTTTTTTTCTTGGGGGTTTAGCAGGATCATATTCTCTATTTTCCCTATGTTTTCAAACTTTCCCTTGTTTGGGTTTAGGAGGATCACACTCAGGAATCTATCTTTCAGAGGGGTTTAGGGTTTAGGGTTTCGGGTTTAGGGTTTAGGGCTTAGGGTTTAGGAGGGCTTTCTTAAGTGGCCCCTCCGAGGATGTTGGCCTGGCGCCTACGCCGTGGTCTTCGCCGTGAACGCCGCGGCGACGGCTCTGAACCTGTTTCTTCCGACGCGGTCCGATGCTTGGTAGCGAAGTGGTATTATTATGATTATTGTTACTATTATTCATTTTTTTAAACCTTTTTTGGGTTCAAGGTACTCTTTTCCCCTTTTTTTGGGTTCAAGGTACCCTTTTACCGTTTTCCCTTTTTTGGGTTCAAGGTTCCCTTACAAAACCCTTATTGTAATATGGGTTCCTGGGCTACTAAGGATGTCGCCAGCTACTACCCCGGCTATCTCTTCATCTGGTCCTCGTACAATGTGTTGGACTTTGTCTTCTTCGTAGTGCTGGTGCTGGCGAGTTTCGGATGTGGCTTTGTGGCAGCTTTCCTGCTGAGAAGGGCCGGAGCTTCAGTGCACGCCAGGTCGGCCTGCGGCTACGCAGTCACCAATTGGCTGAACTCAGTGCTGGCCTCATCCATCTTCATCGGAGGCCCAAAAAGCATACCAGTGCTGGGCTTTGCGGATGTCAATGTAAGGACATGGAACCTTGCCTTGTTCTTCTTCAGAATGGTGATCTACTTGCTATGCTTGTTCTGGATGCAGCTGCTCATCGCGCAGAAGCTTGAGTTCCTGGAGCACGCCTCGCAGCAGAAGTATCGGAGCGGGTGCTTCCGCAAGCTCATCTGGGCGCAAGGCTTCGGCGTCTTCGCGGTGGTCCTGTCGCTTTGCCTCTACCTGTTCCGGCGCTGCTCTGTGATGGTCGCCTTCGGGATGGCGCTGTGGACATGGTTCTGCAACGTTGCGGCGAGCGTCGTGGCGATCCTCTCCCTCACCCGCTCCTACGTGCAGCTGCGGAAGGTTGTGCGTGTGGCGAAGATCGAGGACGCGCCGCTTCCTGTGAGATCTTCCTTGAAGCGTGCAAGGAGGTTTGCTGGGCTACAGATGGTGGGGGTCTCCTCCTGCCTCGTTCTCACGATCTTGGCCGTGCCAGCAGCGTACTGTAACTCCACCTGGGCAATCCCGGGGGTGTACGACTGGGACGAGAACAACTCTTGGACTTGGGTGGTGTTGCTTGCTCGGGCTCTGAATTTCCTGGGGCCTGCGGTGGCTGTGCTGCTCCTCTCCGGCAGCCATCGGGTGCCTACTCAAAGCAGCCAACGCAAGACTAGATCGTTCACGTGCTGCACAGCTCGTGGCCGGAAATGGCCCGCGCAGCCCAAGGCAGTGTCGAAGGGAACCGAATGGAGCCCCGCATGGCAGGCAAAAGTGGCAGAGCTCTCATTGCGGGGCATGACTTTGAACAGCTTGTTGCGCTTTTATCAGGAAGACATCCCCTCCATTCCAGACTGGAGCTACTCACCCAACAGCCACTTGACTAGAGATGTGGTTCGCAGGGTGATCATTCCTCTCACCAGCTTTGAAGAGTCTGCATATGCAGCCTCCGTGTTGAACAGGGACGGCCCTCAACGGGCTAACATCATGGTGACGCACAGCTGGAGCAACACATTCAAGGACCTGCTGGCCGCAGTGATCTCGGACGCTCTTCAGGAATGCAGCTTCAAGCTGGTCGCAAACTTGCTGTCAAGTGCGGAGGACTGCGCCTTCCTTGCTCAGCTCCTGGTTGACAGTGGTCGCCTGGGAGACACCTACTGGATCTGTGCATTTGCGGTGAACCAACACACCAGCATCTGCCACAGCAATCCTTACGACCGGGATCCTCTGACTAATCAGCTGCACCCGGTGTGTAGTTGCAGTTCTGTGACCATCTCTGATCCAGATGGCTTGAACCCCTTGTCAGAGATCAACAAGTTTGACGACATGATGTATCATCTGGCAACAACAGGAGTCTGCAGGCAACTAGTTGCAGTGGACGAACCTCTTTGCTTGTTTCAGCGTGCTTGGTGCATGGCCGAAATTGCAGAAGCCAAGCGCTTGCACATGAAGCAGTCTTTAAAACTTCCGTCCAAGGCCGCGATCGAGCTGAATGCTCTGGCGCTGGAGACCCTGGATGTTCGGAACATGCACGCCTCCTGCATCAAAGACAAAGACCTGATACTCAGCAAGATCACGACCAGCCAGAGCATCGAGGAGTTCAATGAAGACCTCCATTCCCTGATTTTTGCTCCGAAGTCAGGACTCTTGGCTGCTTGGCAGGCCATGGATAGCCTCCAGCAGATGGGAGAAGTGGGCAGGCTCATCCGATGGGGCCTCGCCGACGCGGGCACTGGGAAGGTCTGGAATGCCTGGGAAGCCGATGCATAGTTATGCACAATTCAGTTTGCAACATAGCGACATGGAGTTTGGGGTTGAGGGTTTAGGGTTTGTGGCGACTGTAAATGTGCAGAAGACGTTCCTAGAGCCGTTTACGATCCACATAGGGCTGAGGGTTCAGGCTTCGGTTTCGGTGGTTTTCGCACTTACCAGAACGAAGCGACGAAAATCAGCAGGGGGGGGGGGGGGGGGTGGCATTTGGGGTGTAGGGTTTAGGGCTTGAGGCTTACAAACCCTAACCTCAAAACTACAGTTTCTAGGGGCTAAGATTTAGGGTTCAACTTTTAGGGTTCAGGTTCAAAGTTTCGGGTTCAGGATTTAGGATTTGGAGTTTAGCTTTTAGGGTTCAGGGGTGTAGGAGCTCCTGGGGGTCGCAATGGCCATCGGGTTTAGGGCTTCGGGGTATTGAGCCCTTATGGGTTTCAGGGCCGTTCAGGGCTCATGCAACCGGATACTTCCTTGGGAGAACGGGGTAGTGAACAAGCGCGGCCTCGTCTCCTGTATAGAGTGCCTCCCGGCCAGCCTTGATCTCCTTACAGTTTTGCATTGCGCGCCGGCCTCACACGTCGGGCTGGGCGCACAGCACGCAGGAAGCCACAGCAGTCTCCTGTCGTGCTCTCTGGGAAGCTGGGTTGAGTTGCCAGCCCTCAACCCCTCCTCATCGAGTTGAACTTTCGGACTCGAAATCAAGGGGTCTGTGGGTTTAGGGTTTAGGGTTTGGTGTTTAGGGTTTAAGGTTTAGGGTTCATCCCCCGTGGGCCTTAGGGCTTTGGGGTTTCTTGTGGGGTGACGTGTTGAACGGCGTTTACCGCTTCGAGGAGGGTGCGAGCTTTAGGACTGCAGGATGAATTGACAGCGCATTGGCACGGTTTAGGGTTTAGGGTTTAGGGTTTAGGGTTTAGGGTTTAGGGTTTAGGGTTTAGGGTTGCAGGGCGCCCCCTAGGAGGTTGACAGTTGGAGAAGAGTTCAGGGTCTAGGGGTTTAGAATTTCGGCATAGCTTCTCTGATGATGCGTGCAGCATTCAATCCCAAGCCCCAAGCCCTACATCCGCATCTTTAAGGCTTCAGAACCCTAAGCCCTGAACCCCAAACCCCTGAGCCCCTTCAAGCCCTAAATTGCCGGAACCCTAAACCCTAAACCCTAAGCCCTAAACCCTAAACCCTATACCCGAAACCCTAAACCCGAAACCCTAAACCCGAAACCCTAAACCCTAAACCCTAAACCCTAAACTAGGAACGGCACCCAGGGCATGGCCCCGGCCGATTTGTAGACCTCGGCCTGGGATTGCGCCCAAAGACCCCAGTGCCACTTTGTGAAGGAAGATAGGCGTTTAGGGTTGAGGGTTTGGGGTTTAGGGTTTAGGGTTGAGGGTTTAGGGTTTGGGGTTTGGGGTTTAGGGTTCAGGGTTTAGGGTTTGGGGTTTGGGGGTCCAGGGATACCTTCTTGGGGTCCTTATTATGAGGCAATCCTACTATATGGCGGTCCACTTCAGGGGTTCCCTATTTTCGTAAACCCTCATACTTCTTAAACCATATACGGAACCCTCTTCTACTTTTAAGGAATTAAGGAATGTTGCCTAGTTAAGGGGTGTTGAGTGGTGTAGGTCGGACTGCGGGCTTTAGGGCTTAATTTGGGAGCTACCATGGACGGGAGGGAGGGAACGGCGAATTCGCATTCCTTGTTGTTCATGGCTATGATCATCATATTCCGTTGTCCGCCGTTGTGGCTCACGGTTGTGCTTTACTTCAAGCCGGCAAGAGCCCCAAAGCGTACACGCGCGCACACACACACACATGTGCTCACAGCTGAGGCTGTTGATCGACAAAATGGCAGAACTTCTTGCAACATGTCATGTGGCAACATGTCATGAAAGTGGCTTCGTCCCATGTTTCAACTGGTAAGTGACAGTCTGCATTGCGGTTCTTCAACATGATCGGTGGAGAGCTCCTTGTGCGGGCCTTGGCTACTTGTTGTTCAATGCATATCTTGAAGGTTTCAGTTCAAGCTTGAGGTTAAGGTTTGCTGGCAATCTTCCATTGGAAGGAGAAGACATATTGGGTTGATCCAGAAAGGGCGTTGTTTCCTTATTCATCCCATCCCCCTAATATTAAACCCCCTCCCATTATAGTTCCATTATAGTATATGGGGAGTAGGTAATATGGGGGGGGGTTTAAAGTATTAGGGGGAGGGGAATGCTGCCTGAGCTGTCAGCTGTAGGCGCGCGTAGAAAATTTTACGACTTGGGTTTCAGACGCTGAAAATTCAGATCAAGTATTTCATTCTTCTTGCAACTTCAAAAAGGCATTGTTTGGCTGTGCAATACTCCAGCTTTAAATACGGATAACGCCGATCCTTGATTTTCGCATGAGAGCTCGAGTGTGATGGTTCGGCTTTCCATTCCGCCAGCCCGAACAAAAACAAAACCCTTCAACCCTTCAAGGATAGTAGTAATACGCAATTCCATATAATCCTGCATAACTCTTGGAAAAACAAACACGTATCCGAACCTTAAGCCCTAAACCCTCAACCCTAAACCCTAGTACGTAAACCCTAAACCCTCAACCCTAAGCCCGAAACCCTAAACCCCCTAAACCCTAAACCAAAGCCTTAAACCCATGCCTGAAAGGCGGCGAGATTTTTTTTGAGATTGAAGAAAGTTTTCAGTTTCGACAGCAATTTCGGCGAAACCTGGTTACTGCGCCTACGCGCAAGCCGGAAGTTTCCCCTCTTCAGTACATCATTTGGAAGCGCATGGCAAGCCTAAAACAATAAAAACGCCTTAAACCCTAAGACCTCAACCCCAAGCCCTTTTGATCACCCAGTCCTGGCCCTGCAGATACTAATGGTGGCTGAGAAGCCATCGATCGCGGCCGCTTTGACAGAGGCCAAAAAGCTGCAACGGTTTCTGGGGCTTAGGGTTTAGATTTGGGGTTTAGGGTTTAGGGTTTAGGGTCTAGGGTTCAGGGTTTAGGGCGTGTAAGCCATGGAAAGATATGAAAGATTGAATGGCCAGCAGCCACCTCACCTTCTTCCGTTTTCAAGTTGCAATGTAAGGTTCAGCGTTTGGGCTTGGGGCTTAATGTCCTAAACCCTAAACCCTGAACCCTGAACCCTAAACCCCAAACCCTAAATCCTGAACCCTGAAATTATGATCACGGGTTTAAGCTTCCAACCCGACCATCGTAGAGCCCTGAAACCCCTCAGTCCAGAGCTGTTGGTGGAACGCGAGCCGCTGGAAGGTTTGGGGGTTTGTGGAACCCCAAACCCCAAACCCTAAAACTCTAAACCCTAAACAACCCTGAACCCTTACCCTAAACCCTAAACCCTAAACCCCGAACCCCAAACCCTAAACCCGACACCCCAAACCCTAAACCCTGAACCCCAAACCCAACCCTAAACCCTAGCCAGCCCCCGAATGAGGCGCTTTGCCCTCCGCGCAGTGGCGCCTCGAAGCGCCGTGGCACATCGCCCTCCTCTCCCGTCCGAGACCTGGGACTTTTCTTTTGTTGGGTAGGGCTTAGGGTTTAGGGTTTAGGGTTTAGGGTTTAGGGTTTAGGGTTTAGGGTTTAGGGTTTAGGGTTTAGGGTTTAGGGTTTAGGGTTTAGGGTTACACGCCCAGCTCTCCATGAAACCGATCACAGTTTTGAGCCCAAGGGCTGAGCACTCCTAGCCCCACATTCCCAAGCACCTAAGCACACCCTAGCCCCTGAACTAGGATGGCCCTTAAGACCCTCTGATAAAATATCCTTGAACATCTGGCGGTTCTCTGGCGTGTAAAGGTGTGCGTTGTGTGAGGCATGTTGCTTGTTGAGGAGCAGGGTTCACTCCAGAAGTTAGGATTTAGACTTTAGGGCGGTTTGGGGTTTAGAGTTTAGGGTTTAGGGTTGGCCTGAAAATGTAGTGCCTGTCCGCCTCCAGTCAGTTCAGCTGGACAAAATGCGCGCGAGGTCCACGAGTACAGCGGAACTTTTCAGCGCGCCGGGCTCAGGTGCAACTAAACCCCAAACCCAAAACCCTAAAAACCCTAACAATCCTAAAACCCTAAAAACCCTAAACCCTAAACCCTACATCCTAAACCCTAAACCCCAAAAATCCGAAACCCGAAACCCTAAACCCTAAACCCTAAAAACCCGAAACCCTAAACCCTAAATCCTAAACCCTAAACCCTAAGCCCATGTTTCTCGGTTTGCTGGATCTTGCCGCAGCGGCAGCACCATTCACATCCCGATGCAAGATTCCAAACCCCAGGCCCTAAGCTCTAAGCAACGAGGCATCCAAGAAGTTCGGTTCAAAACAGGCCCAAAGTCCAACCATCCCAAACGCTCCAAGCAACTGCCAAGGCCTGCCGGCCAGGCGCGGGGCCTTCTTGTGGGTCGGCTTGGGGGTTCCTGTATTTTGGGGATCGCCAGGAGGGCGAGTTTCGGGTTTAGGGCTTCGGGTCCCCGAGAGGGAGGCTTGGATTTTTGTGGGGTGCTTGGGACGTGGTGTTAAGGGTCTACGGCTTACCTGCGCCTTGGAGGTGCCCAAGGCCTTCAAATACCAAAGGCCCCAAACCTCCTAAGCACCAAACCCCAAACCCAAACCCTGGACCCCAAAAGCCCCAAAGCAAGACAACCCTAACCCTAAACCCTAAACCCTAAACCCTAAACCCTAAACCCTAAACCCTAAGCCCCAAACCTCGCCAGGTACCGGGTCACGGCCACGACCGGCCACGTGTACTCCTTGGACTTCGGCAAGGTGGGGCTTAGGGGGTTTAGGGTTTAGGGTTTAGGGTTTAGGGTTTAGGGTTCAGGCTTTCTAAGTAATGTAGCAGCCATTACAGTGGAGAAGAACCGCAGTAAACCCTAAACCAAACCCTAAACCCTAAACCCTAAACCCCAAACCCTAAGCCCTGAACCCTAAACCCTAATCCCTAAACCCTCAACCCTAAGCCCTAAAACCTCAGCTATTGAGTGTCAAGCCGACATTGTGGCAACCAGCCCATGTTCGG